TATCAAGTGTGTAACTTCAGCCGTGGTCATCAGGCTTGTGTGGTAAGCCTTCCCTTCAGATTGATCTCATAGGACACAGCTTGAAAGTTTGCCACTGTTGACATCTGGAGAGAGGGCCTTCCAGGCAGATTATAAGGCTCTAGGGTGAGGAATTGGGCCAGTTAAGAAAGGGAAGGACAGGGTTGTGGGAGGGGAGAGTGGAGACGAGGAGGCCAAGGCAGGACTCTCAGGTCTAGCCTTGAAGGTCATCCCAAGAATGGTGGTTTTTCCCCCTGATGAAATGAGTACATGGGAGGGTCATGCAGTGTCACGATCTGACTTTATTTCCAAAGGACATTTCCTTGTATTCAGCTGAGTATTTTCCCAAGTTTAAGAAAATTTCTAACCTGGGGGCAAATCTGGGAGGACTTGAGGAAAGAAGGGTAAATATAATCAAAACACAGTGTATGAAATTCTGAAATAATAAAAATATTTTTTAATTTCAACTTTCTTATTTGGTACATCTGTAAATATTCTATCTCGTTAAACAACTAATATTAGTATTTTAATTTTAATATATATATATATATATATATTTTGGTCTTTTTTGAGACAGGGTCTCCCTGTGGCCCCACCCGGTCTGGAACTCGCTATGTAGACTCTACCAGGCTGGCCTGGCCTTGAACTCACAAGAGATCCGCTTGTCTCTGCCTCCTGAGTGTGGGAAATAAAGGTTCGCACCACCTTGCCCTGCTAATTTTAATTATTTTTATATTTATATATTTATTTATTTATTGAGACAGGGTTACCCTATAGCCTCAGCTGACTTGGAACTTGCTATATAGACTAGGCTGGCCTTGATCTCAGAGAGATCTGCCTGCCTCTGCTTCCTGACTGCTAGAAGTCTCAAAAGTAGCCTGTCTAGCTGGGCATGGTAACACATGCCTTTAATCCTGAACTAGGTTGTTTCCATTTTCTAGCTATTGTGAAAGGAGCAGCAACAAACAGGGCTGAGCAAGCATCTCTGCAGTAGGATGTTGTTCTTTTGGGCATATTCCAAGAACCAGCATAACCAGATCATATGGTAACTTAGTTTTTAGAGTTCTCCACAGTGCTTGTGCTGGTATTTTAATTAATTTCTATTTATTTATTTGGCCTTTTTGAGATGGGGTCTCCCTGTAGCCCCAGCTGGCCTGGAACTCTCTATGTAGACCAGGCTGGCTTCAAACTCAGAGATCCACCTGTCTCTGCCTCCCAAGTGCTGGATTAAAGGCATGCACCACCGGCATTATTTTTTTTTTTCATGCCAAATCAGTTTTATTGTCTATTATTAACATCAAATTCAGAGTTACATGAATGCACCAAAAAGCAACTTAAAATTTATTAATAAAGCAGTTTGCCAAAATTTCATGTTTTTTTTTTTGGAATAAATTTCCATAACATTTAAATGCAATTAAAATTTCATCCACACTGGTAAGTCGGATGCCAGTGGGGCCTTATGGGAAGAGAAAGCCTTCCCTTCCATCCCAGGAGAGTAGGAGAGATTGCATGATGGGGGTCCTGAAAGAAGTCATTTCCAAGAATAAAGGAGATTCCTGACTTTCATGATTTCCAGAGATGGTGGTATGTTTCATGCCATATATCATAGTTTGGCTGTGCCTACTTGACTCCCAGCATAGATAGTGCTGCAAACTGAACTTGCAGCTGCAAGGGGGGAGGGGTTGGTCTTGCTTTTGCCCATGGAATCTGCAAGCACAGGAGGACATGGCTGATGTCTGACAGAGGCAGCTAGAGGATCTATGATCTAACAATTGGATTTTAGAAAAAAAATTAGTAAGATTCTTATTGAATTGTTTACAGTTTGGTTTCAACATAATTTCTAGTGCTTGTCTATGTAGGACCCCTGTAAGCCTTTTCTTATACTTAGAACTTGAAACTTAGACCCTTATTATACAATGTGACATTGAGGAAAAAGCAAATCAGACTATTACTCTATTTTTTTGAGACAGTATCTGAGGTAGCTTCAGCTGGTTTGAGCTTGCTGTGCAGCTAAGGATGGATGACTTTGAATTCCTGATTCAACTGCCTCCACTTCCCAAGTGCTGTGATTACAGGTGTCGCCACGTACTTTTATTTTTTTAATATCTATTTATTGATTGCATGCTGCAGTGTGTGTGTGGCCAGAAAACTTGCAGGAGTCGGTTCTCTTTCCTTCCATCATGTGGGTCCCAGAGATTGAACCCAGGTTGTCAGGCTTGGTAATAGGTGCTTTTACCTGCGCTATCTCACTGGCCCCAAATTAATGTTTTAAAATGTTCTCTGTATTATATATATTCTATATAATTGCCAGTTATTACAGTCAAGAAATTTAACACTGCTACAGTATCATATTCATCTCTCATATACCTAAGTATCTTCCAAATCTTTTTTTTTTTTGACATGGTTCCAGGTATCTAAAGCTGGCCTCAAATTTATGTAGCTGAAGCATTCCCGTCTCCACCTCCTTAATTCTAGGTTTACATGAACCACCATGCCTCCATTATGCAGTACTGGGTTACTGAGAATGGAACCCTGGGCCTCCTACATATAAGGCAAGCACTTTACCAAATGAGGTACATTCCTGTTTCCCAGTATACTAAAAAGCTTTATTTCTTTTTTGTTTTGAGATAGGGTTTTACTATATGGTCCTGGCTGCTGGCCTGGAGCTCTCTGTTTAGACGAAGCTGACCTTCAAATCAGTGCCTCTATATCCCAAGCACTGGGGCTGACAGTGTGCACCATCACTCTAGCTTTTATTCCATTTGCGTGTGTGTGTGTGTGTGTGTGTGTGTGTGTGTGTGCACAGCACAAGTGTGGACGTCAGAGGACCATTTGTGGGAGTCTGCTCTCACCAAGTAACCCTCATGTTGCCAGGCTTAGTGGCCAGTTTCCCAAAAACCTGCCGCTCAAAGCAAGACTCAATAATGATGGTATGGTAAGGATTTTAAATAAGAGGGGTAAACAAACCATTTTAGAGGTGTAGTAGTTACTAATTTATGTGGTAGAGAAATTCAGTTTTATTTAAGAATGTCAGAAACAAACAGGGAGCCTATTAGGCTCACCTAGTGATTAGTAAGACAACAGGTATAATCAGGACTGGTTGCTCCTTCATGATTAAATTCACATTAAGTCTTCCTGGCAAAGCAATTATCAGTAATAACTGTTCACTCCCCATTGCATCAGATCAGAGATACACTGTAGTTCGAACTGTACCTGTTGGTGCTAAATTTGAAGTGATTAAATGGACAGACACAAATTTTGGATTTTTAGTGGTTCTTGGTACTGGGGGTTGAATCTGGCCTAGTGTGTGCCAAGAACTTCAACACTCAGGTCCTTCAGCCCTTTCCATTTTTAATTTTGAGACCATCTCACTAAATTGACCAGGTTGGCCTTGTACTATGCATGTAGTCCCCAAACACATGATCCTACAACTCAACTTTCTGAGTAGCTGCAATGACAAGCTTTCACCACCAGTCATGGCTCAAATTTCAATTGATGGAAGAACACCTCGCCAAAATGTATTTATTTAGCATAATTTTGGGCATTTATTTTTAGTAAATTTTAATTAAAAAAAAATTTTCCCGTTCTTCTTTACCTTCTCCACCACTTCTGACCAGGTGGGATGCTTGGAAATGCTTGTCAGGGAGCACACAGGCTTTTTTCATGTAGACCCATTGACCTCTACCAGCAACGGTTTGGCAAGTCCCCTGACTTCAGTCCCTACTCTTGGAATCATCCATGTCCTTTTGGAGCCAAGGGAAACTGGAGGGCTGGCTTGAGATAACTCACACCACCATTCCTAGTATACTTCACACTCAGGCACACCACACACACTTGTGGGCATGGACGTAACCTCATGGCTGGGACTCTAGCATCCAGATGGAAGTGTGGGGTACACATCTCACCTCGGCTCTCCCAAGAGCATGATTAGCACACAAGCCATCCTCCAGCCCTGGAATTCATCTGAGGCACAGGGAGTACTGAGCTCCAGGCCCTTCTCCCTTTCAGATGAGGGAAAAAGGACAGGGGGCTTGGAAGAGAGAACATCACACTGCCAAGCACAAACAGTAGGAGTCCATCAGTAACTGACACTTGGACCTCAGCCTAACACTCTCACAGAACACATGCTTCCTTCATAAATGATACTTAGTTCCCCAGAGAGCAAAGGAAGCAAGCTTTTCAATCATTTTACATCTTTGTAAATGGTTCTCCATCACAAAGTGGCAGCGATGTTCACTCCCATCACCCTGCACACAGTGGGGAGTTAGTGGAGAAGCTCTTCCTGCCTTGGGATGGTGCCAGCACTCTGCCTCCCTCTGCTCCAGCCTTGTTCCAAAGTCCACACAATGCACTGAGAGGGTAAAAGGGATTCTGGGGGAAAAGCAACCTACAAAACAGAAGGAAAATGAAATAAAAAGCCACAAACTAGACTTAGTGTAATATTGTGCAATAACAGAATACAAACACAAGCACTCCATACAGGCAGTATAATACAAATCAGGGGGCCAGGGAAGAGGACATGCAGAGGCCATAGGTGTAGACCAAGTCTTATAACAGACTGCTTAATGAATCCTTCTGTGCTGGTGGCAGAATAAACAATTGTCAGATCTGGAGACCCCATATTCCTGTCCCAGGGCCTTCTTGGAGCAAAACACACAGGACATTTTCTTGTCTTCACACAATGGTGGTCAGGTGTGTTGAGGACACCTCCACAATGTCCAGAGTCATCACAATGAACCCAGAGTTGTTTCTGTTGAAGTGTTCAGTAGCCTTACTGGCTCTTCTGAAGCTGCTTGTCCTTCTATGACTAGTAAACAAAGTCCAATAGTTTCTGGATGAGGTGGGCATCTTGGAGGGCACAGACAGGGTTCCCATCAGTCTTAGTCATGGCTGTGGTACCAACAGGCCACTCCACATGAACAGGTGACATCAGAAAAGTAACGCAAACCTCACAGACGTTCCTTTATCCTGGTACTCCAATCTCACTGGAGGCTCTTAATTAAGACCTTGTTCCTAAAAAACAAATTCATTTATTTTTATTTTTTTCAGTTAAGGCCTCATGTGGATCAGGCTATTTTTGAATTACTGATCCTCTCTTCTCAAGTGCTGGGATTACAGATGTGTACTATCACATCTAGCTGAATGTAAGAGGGAACCAGGAAGTCACCAAATTTCATTCTTTAAAATAGTAAAGATAGACTAGGTGTGGTGGCACATGCCTTTAATCCCAGCACTCAAGAGGCAGAGCCAGGTGGATCTCTGTGAGTTGGAGGTCAGCCTGGTCTATACAGGGATTTGAAGGCCAGCTGGGGCTACAGGGAGACCCTGTCTCAAAAAGACAAAACAACAACAACAACAACAACAACAACAAAAAAACCCTAGTATGAATAAAACCCTGGGTTTGACACCAACACTGCATAAACCAAGCATGGTAGCATATACATATGACCTCAGTCCTCAGGAGAATTAGAAGTTCAAGGCCAACCTCAGCTACAAGTTCAAGGCAAGCTTGAGCTACATTAAACACTGTCTCAAAATCAAACAAAAAAATAGCCTGAACACTCACTGCTAAAACACCAATGAAACTGCCCTTAAAACATCGGGATCAAGCTGGAGTTGTAGCTTGGTGGTGAAATGTGTACTTAACATAGGTAAGGACCTAGGTTTAACCCCAAGAACCACAAACAATAACAAAACTTTAAGATCACGAATAGAAAGCCTGTGACCATGTCATCAAGGAATGAAGACTAGCAAGCAAGGACCGTTCTATCCTACGCAGGCCACAGGCAGGAGAGAGGCCCTCCTTTTTTTTTTGTGAAATGTCCAAATGTGTCATCAAATGGTTATTCAAAATTACCTGAGCTGTGTGTGCCTTTAATCTCAGTAGAGGAAAGTGGATTTCTGAGTTTGAGGCCAGCCTGGTCCACACAGTCACGCCTTGCCTTCCACCCTGCAAAAGACCTCAGTTCTATTTAACTTTATGTTTTTAATATTTTCATGGGGGGTGTTGGTCAGAGAATAACTTTTGGGAATGAGTTTGCTCTTTCCACCTGGAGATTGAACTCAGTTGTCAACAACTGACAGTTTGACAACAAGCTCCTTTACCTGATAAGCCATTTAGCTGGGCCAGTAAGAGGATTCTGAGTTCAAGCCTACTTTTAACTACACAATGAGACTTTGTCCCAAAACAAAAATATTGGTAGCTGGGCTTGTGGTGCATGCTTACAATCCCAGCACTTGGCAAGGCAGAGACAGGCAGATTGCTTGAAGCTAGAGACCAGCCTGATCTACATAGCAAGTTAGAGACCAGCCAGAACTACACTTAGAGTATACACAAGTCCCATGCAAACTCAGGCAGACAGAAACCCAGCATAAGACTCAGAAAATGAACAGCAGACCCAATTTTTTTTTTTTTTTTTTTTTTCTTTTTTTTAAAAAGGGGATCCCTTTTGCCCCAGCTGGCCTGGAACTCACTATGTAGACCAGGCTGGCCTTGAACTCACAGAGATCCGTTTGCCTCTGCCTCCCAAGTGCTGGGACAACAAGTGTGTTGCCACCCTGGCAGGTGACCCAATCTTATCTGAAGAAATATTGGCAACTAATTGTTGCTAGATGAAGAGCTGATCTTGCTAAAACAAGGAACTCTAGATAGGCTGACTAGACCTCAGTGGATGGACTTGTACTGGGGAACAGCTATGGGACAGTGCCAATGGGGATGGGGGCATAAAGATGTTTAAGATTATTTGAGATGTTCTATATGAAATACAACAAACAATTCAATAAAAACAAATGAAAAAAAAAATCCCCAAAACAAACAAAAAACTGGGCACGTCAGCACATACCTATAATCCCAGCACTTAGGAGGCAGAGACAGAAGTTGCCATATGTTAAAATAGAAGTCTGGCCTGCAATCTTAGTCTTAGAATTACTGGCAGCTGATTACTACTGGGTGAAGAGCTGATCTTAAAGGGAGGAACTCTAGATAGGCTGACTAGATCCCAGTGGATGAACTTGCACTGAGGGACATCTGGGGTCATTAACTTTACATGACAGGCCTTAACACAAATGATAGAATGATAGAACTCCAGTGGGGGAAAGAGGGTGGAAGCTATGGGAGGGTACCAAAGGGGAAGGGGGCATAAAGATGATTTTCTGTAGGAAATACACAAAAATTCAATTAAAAAAAAAAAAAAGCCTATGTTGTCTACATAGTGAGCTCCAGGCCAGTAGGACTATATACAAACCCTGTCTCAAATATCCTAAACCAGAAGAGACGGCACAGTAGCTAAGAGAACTTGCTGTGTAAGCATGAGGGCCCGAGTTCTAATCCTTATTTTTATTATTTTTATTTTTTATTTTATGTGTATGCATGTATTGCCTGCATGTACGTATGTGCACCCATTTGTGCAGTGCCCGCGGAAGAGAGAGAGGCTGTCGGATCCCCTGGAACTGGAGTTATGGACAGTTGTTAGCTGCCATGTGGGTGCTAGGATTCGAACCCAGGTCTTCTGCAAGAAGTCAGTGTTCTTAACCGCTGAGCCATCTCTCCAGCCCCCTATTATTTCATTTTATTGTCTTTTTTGAGGCAGTCTCCCTGATGCCCCAGCTGTCCTGGAACTTACTAGATAGACCAGGCTGGCCTTGAACTCAGAGTGCTGGGATCAGAGGTGTGTGTCACTACAGCTGGTGTGTGGTATCCTTTAAAAGAATGTGGCTGACAGAGTTTACAATCCCAGAACTATGTAGGGTGGACACGTGCTTACCACCCCCTCCAATGAATATAAAACAAAAAAACTCTAAATATAAGCAGAACAAATAATACCCAAACACAGCTAATTCAATAATGTGTATCTTTCCATTAACTAAAAGTCAGGCGCCCACCTTCAGTGTGTGGGAAGCCAGTATTTACCTTTGAACACATCTGGGGCATAGCATGTTGTCCTCCAGGTTTGGGGGTGGAAATGTGCAGGCAGGAAGCAGGAAGAGGGCACTCACTCTCCCTTTCTTTTCAGGTACCCAGGCTTGTCCAGCATGGAACTGCAGCCGAACCCAACCACTGGAGTCTGCAGGGAGACTTTTCCCATGGACCACACACCACATGTACCCTGTGGAAGGAAACAGTCTGAGTATGAATACCACAGCCACATCCTCAGGCTCAGGCTCAAGGCTGATCCTGCCTCATCACTCTGGACTTATCTCTCTCAGATGCAGGCCCTGAGTCAGGACTTGGGAATCCTACCTCTATCTCCATGCCATACAAAACTATGCAAGATACCTTCAGGCCTCAGGGCTATAGATGCAGCTCAGTGGTGGAGTTCTTGTTTAGCATGTCTGAGGCCTTCAGTCTGATTTCTAACACATCATCTGCACACCAGACAAAACTCTCACAAAATTAAAGGATTTTTATATTACAGGTTTAGGGGCAGTGACTCCCCACTCCCCCCTGCCTTTTTTTTTTTGTTTAAGCCAAGGTCTTACCACGTATCCTTGTCTGGCCTGGACTTGCTATACAGAGCTAACAGAAATCCACTTGCCTCTGCCTCCCGAGTGCTACCACCATGGCAGGGTATCAATGCTAAGCATGATCTCCCTTCACTGCATTTGTTTGGAGTGTGGTGGTGGTGTACATTATTACAATATGTAAGTTCTGTATCCTTTTATTATTATTTGTTGTTTCTGAAAGTCTTAGGTAGCCCAGGATGAGCTCAAACTCCTGACCCTCCTACCATCACTGGTGCTGGGATCACAGGCTTATGAGAAAATGCCTCGGGAGTTCTGCCTGTTTAAGAAGAGGAAATGGGATTGATTTAAACAAGATGTTAATGTCACTCACTTAACAAATGCTGGGAGAGCCAGAACTCAATCCTTAGACTTTCACTTTAAATTCCTTAAAGAAAGGGGAGGAAATGAAGCCAAACCTAGTGAATTCAAGTAGTTCTCAAAGCATGGTTTCCTGGACCAGTACCCTCATTACTGCTCAGGCAATTGTTAGAAATGGAGACACTCAGCTAGGGGGGTGGAGAGCAGACACCTGTAATTTTAGCACTTAGGAAGCTGAGGCAAGAGACAGTGAGATTCTTGTCTCAGAAGAAAACTAAAGGAATGAGAACTCTCAGGTCCTGACCTAGACTGGAGTCAGAAAAGACATGGTGGGTGGTCCTTGTGGTAGTGTGCTACTCCAGTATCAGAGCCGAATGTTGACTGAGCTTATCTCGCTTATCATGGCTGCAGAACAGGCTCCGCACTCGAACTTACCTTGGGCCTCTGGTGGTGGTGGTGGCTGCGGCTCCTCTGCTTCCATCCTCCCAGCACTGGCTGCAATTCTGGCCCAAGAGGCCAACACTGCCTCAGGGGCAGAGGTGGTCACTACAGTGGTACTGACTTCTTCATAGAGAACAGGGGTCTCATTAAGGGCAGGCAAATGCGCAGGTGTAAGGATCACTTCAGAGGGAGAAGTCCCGTCGGAACACAGCATTTCCACCTTTTCTGTCTTCAGTTTTTTTTGGGTTGTCTTCACCCTGGCCTCTTGTGATGTGTCAGGAATATTATCCATATAGGGCTAGGATATCAGAGATAATGAGAAAGATTAACAGATGGCTCAGAGGGGAAAGCGCCTGCTGTGCATATGTAAGGACTTGACTTGGAATCTCACAAAAAAGTCAAGAATAATAGTTTCAATCTGTAATCCAGTATATGCAGCAGCAAACAACAAAGAAACCCTGCATTTTCAAAAATTAATATTATGTGTATGAGTGTTTTACCTGCATGTATGTAACTGCACAGTGCCTGCAAAAGCCACAAGAGGGTGTCAGATGTCAGATCTGGAGTTACTGAAGGTTGTTAGCTGCCATGTGGGTGCTGAGAACTGAACCTTGGTCTTCTACAAGAGCAGCCAGTGCTCTTAACTGCTGAGCTATCTCTCCAGTCCCAAGAGACTCTGTCTTAAAACAAGGCATATACCAACACCCGAGGTTACCTTATAATTTCCACACACTTGCTGTGGTATGTGTACCTGCACTCACATGTGAAATACATATTAAAAAATGAGAAAGACAGCTAGAGAGATGGCTCAGCGGTTAAGAGCACTGACTGCTCTTGAAGAAGACCTGGGTTCGATTCCCATCCCCCACATGATGGTTAACAACCATTTACAGCTCCCGTTCCAGGAGATCTGATGCCTTCTTCTGGTCTCCGTGGGCACCATACTACATGGGTGCACTTGTACACATGCAATAAAAATAATAAAATCTTTTTAAAAAAAAGGGAAAGATTAAAATACTAGTAGTACAAGCTGGAGATGCTCAGTGGTAGAGTACTTGCCTAGCATGGAAAAGACACTGGGCTCAATGCACAGAACTGAAAAAAATTGCTGGATGCAGTGCTGATGTGCACTTCTAATCTCAGCAGTTGGGAGGCAGAAGCAGGCAGATTTGTGAGTTTGGAACCAGCCTGGTCTACCTAGCAAGTTCCAGAACAGTCAAGAATGTGTAGTGAGATAGTGAGGCCAGCTGGGGCTACAGGGAGACCCTGTCTCAAAAGACCCCCCGCCCAAAAAAAGCATAGGACATGGTGGTGGCAGAGGCCTTTAATTCCAGCACTCAGGAAGCAGAAACAAGCCAAGCTCTGTGAGACTGAGGCTGGCCGGGTCTACATATTGAGTTGAAGACTGGCTAGGGCTACAGGGAAACTGTCTCAAAAAGACAAAAAAATAAAATAAAAATAATAAAGGAGAGATGTCTCAGAGCACTTGCTACTCTTTGTCTTTTTGAGACAGGGTCTCCCTGTAGCCCCAACTGGCCTGCAACTCACTATGGCCTGGAACTCACAGAGATTGGCCTGCCTCTGCCTCCCAAGTGCTGGGATTAAAGGCGTGAACTACCATGCCCAGCTTAACACCAGTCCTTAATTCCAGTTCCAGGGGATCCAACACCCTCTTCTGGCCTCTGTAGGCACCAAGCAAACATGTGGTACACTTGTGTCTCAGCTACTCAGGAGGCTAAAGGAAAAAAAATCACTTGACTCCAAGAATTCAATAACCAGGGTAACATAATGAGCCCCACTCTCAAAAATAAAATACTCATGGTGGCTAACACTCATCCCAGCACTCAGGAGGCAAAGGACTGCTACTGTAAATTCTAGGCCAGTCAGGACTACATAGTGAAACTCTATAGAAAAATGAAATCAGAACTGGAGAAATGGCTCCGTGATTATTAAGAGCTCATATTACTCTTCCAGAGGACCCAAGTTTGATTCCCAGCACCCATATCAGGTGGCTCACAACTGCCTGTAACTCCAACTCCAGGGGACCTGAAGACATGTGCACACAGACATAATTTAAAAATAAAAAATTAGGGGCTAGAGAGATGGCTCAGCAGTTAAGAACACTGGTTGTTCTTGCAGAAGACCTGGTTTTGAATCCCAGCACCCACATGGCAGCTAACAACTGTTGGTAACTCCAGTCTGAGGTGATCCGACAGCCTCTTCTGACTTCCTCGGGCTTTGTACAACACGGGCACAGTTACACCTACATGCAGGCAATACATGCATACACATAAAACAAAAATAATAAATAAAAATTTTTTAAAAAAAATTTAAAAAATAATAAAAAATTAAATTAGAAAATAACATCCTCCCCCAAATAAAATTACAAACAAACAAAACCCCAAAAGAGTGAGTCAGGTGTGGTAGCAAACACCTGTTATTCCAGAATTATGTGACTGAGGCAGGAGGCTCTTTCTTGGGTCTGAAGTCAGCCTAGGCTACATACAGACTCTCTACTCCCTCAAAAAAGGGGTAGGGTTGAGGGTTAGGGGTACAGCTCAGTAGCAGAATATGCATTAAGACCCTAAGCTCATTTCCAGCACACCCCCTACCCACCCCACAAAATGCCTCATTTAAAAAGAATTTTTTAATTTATTATTTATTTTACATATATGAGTGGGTTTGCTTACACGTATATAAATGCACCACATGCATGCAATCCCCCACAGAGATCAAAAGGCCTTGGCTCTCCTGAACTAGTAGCTGCCATGTGGATGCTGGGTACCAAACCCTGGGTCCTCTGCAAGAGCAGCCAATGCTCTTAATCACTGAGCCATCTCATGAGCACACTCCCCCCTTCCCCCTTTTTAAAAAAAAAATTTAAAAAGCCTCCTTTTCAGTACTTTTTGCAGAGCTGGGTAAAAGTGGAACAAGGCAGTAAGCACTGTTCTCTTAGAACTTGGGGTAAAAGGCTAAGACAATTCTTTAACTTATTTTTTGATGATGACAGGTAATTAGCCTGAGAAGCAAACCTTTCCCTCTGCCAATTTTCCTTAACATAAAAAGTTACAGGTTGGGCATGCACTGTGAGGTAGGAAGAGCCTGAGTTACTTCCACATACTGATTTGTTCCACATACTGATTTACCAGGCTATCTTGGGCTAAATAGTAAACCCTGTTTCAATAAATAAATAGTTACCTTTTGGTCTGGGTAAGCATATTTCCAAAGTCGTTTGTATGCATCTAATTTCTAAGAAAAAGAAAAAGAACTGTTAGTGAAAGTTTGGTTCCCACCCTCCCCCTGAGCAACAGGCCTCACAACCCTGCCATCACCTGGCCTCTGGTGCTCAGCTTTAACTTCTGGCACCAACCCCGCACAACATCCCGGTGAATCTCGTTGACTGGAGGCAGGATGACAGGCAAGGGAGGAACTATTACTTTCTTACGAGGAGGTTTTGGAGTGTCAGTGTCTTGTGCTTTCTTTTTTGAATTAGTATCTGGTAGACAATGGAATATGGTCAGTGGCAATTTTTGTATGGCTTTATAAAATTTCAAGAGCACAGACAGTTCTCACCCACCAACCGCACAATGTACAGTTGCAGGATTCAACAACCCATCAAAGACCATATAGACTCCAGGTGACATATCTCAACTCAATCCTAGGACCTAACACTTTTAAATCCCAGTGTTCTTTGCTAAGCCTAAGCAAACACAAAAATGCTTGCTCTTGGGGTAGGGGAGTGCCCAATGCATAGAATGCAGGTGGCTCCACTTCCATCTTAGGGGACTGACTGAAGCTTTAGATCATCAACACTCAGTGCTGCCTGGGCCTCTCAGCACAGAACAAAGTAAACACCTCACTTTCATACACTCAACACCAAACCCTGTAGTGCAGGCCCACCCCAGTCCGAGCAGCACTCCAGCCACTGTGCTTCACACACAGAGCCACATGTGTGTTAAGATTCCCAGAACGTGTTGAGTACAGAACATCTGTAGTGACATTAAGCATCATTAGAATTTACTGAGTAAATGCAAATTACCCAAACCCTCCACCCTATCCTCCATTCCCACCTCTTGTCAAGGTTAGGTACCATCCTCACTTAGGGCAGTCTGTACCCAAAACACTGCCTATAAAAGACCTTTGATGAAAGGAGCAAGTGAAGGCAAAATGATCACAGTTTGGTGATAGAAAGGGGAAGGGTTTTACAGGCGGGAATTAAGCTTGACTTTGATAATAAAACAGAATTAGCAAAATACAGGAAATTTCTTTCATCCTCTTTCAATACTTTAGGAACGTCCGTGAATGGAAAGAAGTGGTAGAGAGTATTTACGGACACTTACCTTTGTTATCATTCACTGACTTTTTTCGTTTTGTCTCCTTTGCTGGGGCCTTTGCCAAAGATGTGCTTGGCTGACTAAACATTTGGCATTCACCTTCCTTTGATTTTTCTGTGCAGTTCCACTGGGGACACAGGAGCAGTCAGTCATTCTTTTGGTGTCTGAACCATCACATACCCTTACCTGCTTTAAACTAACTCACATTTGAGGCCCCCAGGAAGTCACTGCACTTGACTGCCAGTGTGAATTCACTTAATTGCCAGTGTGAATTCTCATGAGGGCATTGTTTTAATATGCAGTTCCATTTATACGGTAGGGAAGGAATGGTGGGGAAACAGGGAGCCTACATGAAAATATGAGAAAACCCAGGCTGGACAGTGCTATGTGACTGTCATTCCAGGATGAGGATCATGAGTTTCGCCAGACCTAGGTTACAAGAGACAATCTTTAAAAAAGCTGGATGTGGAGGCTGTAATGTCAGCACATAAGGCCTAAAGCTTGGAGGCCATAACACATAATGAGTTCTAGATAAGCCTGGGTTACAGAGTGAGATTCTGTCTCAAAAACAAAAAGAAAGCAAGACAAAAAGTGCAAGAAGAAAAGGATACCTGCAAAAACAGAAGAAAACAAAAAGAACTGGGGAGGAAGAAGCAAATCACTTTATCTGTCTCTCCTCTCAGTCCTTCATCTAGACCCCTCCCAAAGAATTCATAGCCAGAAGGATGCAGTAAAACAAAAACAAAACAACAACCTAGCAGTCTCCCATTACCGTGGCACAAGCTCCAGTGATACTGTTTCTTTGCTTTCCTGAGCAGGTCCCTCAGCCTCAACCCACTGGCATTTCTGTCCTTCCTCCTTCCAGAGTCTCAGTTCAAGTACTGTTTTGCTGGGATCCCTTTCTTGGCTTCTCAGAGTCAAATCTACCACTTCTTGCTTCATTGCTGCTTGTCAATGACAATTTTCTACATGCTTCTGTGATTTGATTAACAGCTATGACTTCATTGGATCATAAGTTCCACAAGGATGGGGTCTTTTCTCCTTTTATTGCAAACACTCAATAAATATTCCCTGAGTTAAAGGGAACAAAGAGGCCCTGAGAAACTAACACACATAGGGCCTCGGTCTAACAGCAGCTACTGGACTTGACACCTTTTTATCTTCATTCATCCAACCCTCACAGCAATTTCACAGCCATTACTTTATTTTTAACATGGAGAATTAAGCCAGACAGGTTAAGAGCACGTTCGGAAAATTAAATCGTAGGTCAGCTAGTTCCTAAACCTAGGTCCTTTCCTAAGGACCCCCAGAGTGGGAGTTATGTGACAAATTAACATTTGTATGTCACTTTTACATCTCTGTGCCGGTTTCACATTGACATTCAAGACTCACATTTGCATAACCTTTTCACAAAGTATTCACTTTTGGGCCCCACAGAAGCCTTAACTTGAGGAAAGTCGTGGGTTCTGGGGAGGCCAGCTCCAGTAGTTAGAAACCAACAGGCTTGTCAGCCTTAAATTCCTTAGGTCTCGGGTGGGTAAGATAGGGAGCCTGGAGTTCATGCTGCAGCACCTTTGGTTAGGCCCTGGGGCCTTCTAAAAGAAATTAACGGCTGTCCTTTATTCCCAGTCATACCTCTTCCCATAGCTTGGCCCTCATTTTCCCTTTCCTCTCCCCTTTCTCCACGTCCCTCCTCTAGCTACAATATTCTTCCCAACAAACCAAACATCCCTTCCAAATCACGACCTCTTTACTTGTCTTCTAACATTCCCAGTAATGGGAATGGCCCAGGGCTTTTTTCCAGGTTTTTCTTCCACCCCTCTGGCGACGGAGCCCAGAGTCTCGCGCAGTGCTCCACACTGAGCCACACTACCAGCCCTTTCACTTAAAAAAAAAAAAAGTGGCCGGGCGTGGTGACGCAAGCCTTTGATCTCAGCACTCGGGAGGCAGAGGCAGGCGGATCTCTGTGAGTTCAAGGCCAGCCTGGTCTACATAGTGAGTTCCAGGAGAGCTGGGGCTACAAGGAGACCCTGTCCCCGCCCCCCCAAAAAAGTAGAGTGGAACAAATTGTCAAGCACGTTTTTTTCCACCCAAAGCAAAGACCAGGTGTACTCAAAAGAGACTAGAAGAGACCCACGGAGCTGGTAAGCAGACGCACTGAACCGCGCTTACCTCCTTGCCCCTTGGATTCTCCATGCTTAGCAGGGACGAAACCACGAGAAAGTCCGTGCTTCCACAGAACCCCATCCCCCCGCCCAGGAGGGCTTTCAGAAATCTCCTCCTACTTCCTGTCTCCTGGAGGCCTTTTTCCTGTTCTCCGCAACTTGACTCCACCCCCAACAATTTGTGGTGTTAAAATCTTGGTCGGCTGGGTGTGGTGGAGCACGCCTTTAATCCCAGCTCTTGGGAGGCAGTGGCAGGCGGATCTCTGAGTTCTAGTCACGATGTGGACCAGGCTGGCCTCGACCTCGAGACAAAAAAAAAAAAGGTCGAGTCTTGGGTGGTTAATGAGGTTATTCTGTGGTTGAATTATTAGTTCCTTTTCTGTGAACTTTTTATTTATTATTATTATGTTTGTTTGTTTGAGACAGGGTCTCACTGTGCAGCCCTGGCTGGCCTGAAACTCGGTGAGAGGTCCACCTTCCTCTGCCTCCCAAATGCTGGAATTAAAGGCCTGTGTTACCATGGCCGATTTTTTAAAAAATTGTATTTTTTATTTTATGTGTATGCGTGTATTGCCTGCATGTAGGTCAGTGCACCTGTGTCGTGCAGTGCCCTCAGAGGTCAGAAGAGGCTGTCGGATCCCCTGGGACTGCAGTTATTGACAGTTGTTAGTGGCCTTGTGGGTGCTGGGATTCGAACCTGGGTCTTCTGCAAGAACAACCAGTGTTCTTAACCGCTGAGCCATCTTTCTAGCCCTCGCAGTCCTTTTCTTAAAAACAAAATTTCAATTTTTAAATTTTTTAAAAATTATTTTTACGGGGGTGGGAGAGATGGCTCCTTGGTTAAGAGTACTGACTGCTCCTGCAGAGGACCCGGGTTCAATTCCCAGCACCCACATGATGGCTAAAACTATCCATAACTCCAATTCCAGGGGATCCAATGCCTTCTGACTTCTGCAAGCATTGTACGACACGGTGCATTTACACACATGCAGGCAATACACTCATCCACATAAAATTAAAATAAAAAATAAGATATAAAAAATTATTTTTACTTTGTGACTGCAGAGATGGATGGCTCAGCAGTTTAGAGCACTGACTGCTCTTGCAGAGGACCCAGGTTAGGTTCCCAGCACCCACATGGCAACTAACAACTGACTATAACTCCAGTTCCAAGGAATCTGATGCCTCCTTCTGACCTCCAAGGGCATTGTGTGACATGGGTGCACTTACATATATGCAGGCAATTCAATCACACATAAACAAATAAGTAAATAAAAATTTTGAAAGTTAATTTTATGTGTATGAGTGTATGTAGTGTCATGCAGTGCCCTCAGAGGTCAGAAAAGGGTGTTGGATTTCCCAGGGACTGGAGTTGTGTATGGTTGTTAGTTGCCATGTGGGTGCTGGGAATTAAACCCAGGTCCTCTACAAGAGCAGTCATAGCTAGTTCTGAGTCATCTCTCCAGCCTGTTTGTTTTTATTTTATGTGTATGAGTGTTCTGCCTGCACATATTAAAGTGCACCACATGTATGCAATGCTGGAGGAGGCCAGGAGATGGCATTGGATCCCCTGGAACTGGAATTACAGATGGTTGTTAGCAGCCATGTGGGTGCTAGAAACTGAACCTGTGTCCTCTGCAAGAGCAGTTAATGCTCTTAACTGCTGAGCCACCTCTCCAGCCCACTAACACAGTCCTTGAATTTGTGAGTGTTCTACCTAAGCCTCCTGAGTACCTGGGATTATAGGACTGTGCCACTAGGCGCTGCTACAAGTGGATTTTGAAGTCAGATCTGAAGAGGCAAATTGAACTAGCTGAATAGGGAAGGGGAAAGAGAAGGGGAAGGGGAAGAAAAAGAAGGGGAAGGGGAAGGGGCGGAGAAGAAGGGGAAGACAAAGGAGGCAGTCAGCCTGTTTCCAGGGTTGGAAGAAGATCCAGGTAGCTGATACTCAGAGAGGAGGAAAGTGTGATCAGGGCTTGAAGGGCAGGCCTTTGGGTCTTCGGGTGAAAAGCAATGGAGGAGCTATTGAAAACCTCAAGGTCGGGTTGAGGATAGGCTGACTCAGCTGGGCATCTGAGGATGTAAGGATTTATCAACTACATGGAGGGAAAAATCAGTAGAGGCGGACCTGTGGATGGGAAGGTGAGTTGGTGGCTGAGGCAGTTGTAGGCAGAGATGCTGACTGCTGAAGAGGTAAGGGGACTGTGGTGGTGAGTAGAGGCTACAAATTCTAACCTCCCTTTAGCGGCTATGTGACCCAGCAAGTGATCTAAAACTATCAGGCTTCTCGTTCCTTCTGTGAAATGGAGGTGACAAAGACAACAGCAGCCACCCTTTCTCAGAGGATCTGGTGAAGTCCTGAGAAAACTATGCAGTGGGGCATGCCAATAAAGCCAGGAAGGCTGAGATAGGCAGTTTTTGAATTGGAGGCCATGTTGGGCTATATATCTCGACCCTGTCTCAACAACAGCCAGAAAACAAACCCAACAACAAGAAACAACAAAAAAAAAAGCCACAAACACCACTGTGTACTGCAGCAGAGTAAGTTGGAGCAATGTTAGACTTAGATGCTCTATTAAGGTTTAAAAGGAATGTAGATTTGAGAGCCATGGAGAATTCCTCTTGTGTTTCCTTTTGTTCTTTGCTGCTTTTATTTTATTTTACTATTTTATTTTATATTATTGATGTATTGCCTGCATGTATGTAAGTGCACCTGTGTTGTGCACTGCCCGAGGAGGTCCGAAGAGGGTGTCAGATCCCCTGGAACTGCAGTTATGGACAGTCGTTAGCTGCTGTGTGAGTGCTGGGAATCAAACCCAGGGCCTCTGCAAGAACAGACAGTGCTCTTGACCACTGAGCCACCTCTCCAGCCCCATCTTTGCTGCTTTTTTGTTTGTTTGTTGAGACATGGCCTCACTGGTAGCCTAGAACTTGATATATAGACCAGGCTGGCCTTGAAGCTGGTAGCAATTTTGATTATGTCTCCTGAGTGCTGGGATCACAGTGTTGCTCTCCTGTGTCCACATCTCTTTTTCTCTCTTTTTTTTTTGATACAGAATCTTATTACATTGCTTAGGCTGGTCTTGAACTTTGAACTTGAACTCTTGGGCTGAAGCAATCCTTTTCAGGCTCCCAAGTACAGGAACCACAGGTACATGTCCTCAAACCCAACTGTTTTTTGTTTTGGTGTTGTTCTTGTTTTGAGACAGGGTCTTACTGTGTAGCCCTGGCTTGCTTGGAACTCCCTATATAGACCAGGCTGGTCCACAACTCACAGAGATGTACTTGTCTCTGTCTCCAGAGTACTGGGCCTGAACCATCATGCCTGGTCAAACCTAGCTCTTTTAAAAAGTTGGTTGGTTGGTTTTTCTTTTTGTTGTTTTGAAACAAGATCTCACTATGTAATCTTGCCTGACCTGGAACTCACTGGGTAGGCAGGCTGACCTTTAACTTGTAGAGATTATTGTGCCTCTGCCTCCTGAATGCTGGATACAGGTATTCACCATGCCTGGCTAAAGTAATAATAATAATAATACTTGAATAAATGAGCAGAGTTAATGAGGACTTTAGTTTACTGAAGAGAGTCTATAAGTCTTATGTATCAAGTATTAACCACTTCACAGGTGACTGTGAATGGAAAGATTTTGTAAGAGGTGTGGCTGTCCTGTTAGGCAGGCTGGGGCACTTGTCTAAATCTTTGTGCTGTGTATTTCTAGCAACTCTGGGGCAAAAGCTGCTTTATTTAAAATACCTACAGAATTCAATTTGAGTGCCCAATAATTTCATTGAGCTACAAAAGCCTAGAACAGCTCCTTCTCCATATCCAAGATGATGGTATTTTAACAAGCACATGAGTTTCCCAATCATCATTCATAAAGAATTCTGCCTTGGGTAAAGTCACTTGCCACCTAGCCTGACAACCTTGACAACCCAGATTCAATCCCTGGGACCCACATGGTGGAAGGAGACATCTGACTCCTACAAATTGTCCTCTGACTTCATACACACACACACACACACACACACACACACACACACGACACACACACATGACACATACACACCCCACACTAAATAAGTAGAATTTTAAAAATTCTGCCTTTTACAATATTCAGGTAAATGAACGGAACTGGCAATGATAATTCTGAGTGAGGTAACCCAGACCCAGAAAGACAAACATCATATGTTGTCTCTCTCAAGTTAATGCAAGCTTTAGATGAAGATATTTCAGTTGGAAAATCCATAGAGGCCAGGAAACTAGAAAAGGGTGGGGGGGTGGTTTCCTGGGAGGGAAGATAGGACTTAGTGATATAAAGCAAAAAACGGAAATGGTGGAATAGAAAGGGTTAAATGGGGTGAGTAAATAGAGGGCAGGACCGAGGAGGGAGTAAGTGGAAGAATTAACTAAGGTCCTTTTGAAAAAAATTATAGGGCCAGGAGTTGTGGCACACACCTTTAATCCTAGCACTCAGGAGTCAGAATCAGGTGGATCTCTGAGTTCAAGAATGACCTGGTTTACATAGTGAGCTCCAGGCCAACTGGGGCTACAGGGAAAAAGAAAAAGAAAAAAATTATGGGAACCTGCTACTAAGGAAACTTCTTCTTAAAATAAATACATATTATATTTTAAGAAGTTTCTATAATAAACTTAGAGTAATGGCGACAGCATGCACAAGACCCATGCAAACTTAATCAGACAAAACCCAGCATAGAAGTGAGGAAATGGGCAGCAGGCTCTAGCCTTAGTCTAGGACCTATCAGTAGCTGATTACTGCTGGGTGAGGAAGAGCTGGTCTTTAAGGGAATGACTCTAGATAGGCTAATCTCCTTGAGTTCAAGGCCAGCCTGGTGTACATAGTGAGTTCCAGGCCAGAAAGGCTACATAATGAGACTGTGTCTCAAACAAAAACAAAAACAAAAAATTCAACCTTCTACTATCTCCTATAGAAGAAAACTCTTGCTCACATTTTAATTTTGAAAACTTTAAAAATTATTTATTTATTATTTATTTATTAAGGTGTGTGTGTGTGTGTGTGTGTGTGTGTGTGTGTGTGTGTGTATGCCATAGTCCAGGTGTGGAGG